GGAAAAAAAATATCCTTGGGTGAGAGTTAACAAAAGGAAGGAAGGAAGGAAGGAAGGAAGGAAGGAAGGAAGGAAGGAAGGAAGGAAGGAAGGAAAAAAAGAAGGAAGGAAGGAAGGAATGAAGGAAGGAAGGAAGGAAAGGAAGGGGGGAGGGAAGAAAAGAAGGGGGGGAAGACAAGACAGGAGAAAAGAAAAGAAAAGAAAAGAAAAGAAAAGGAAAGAAAAGAAAAGAAAAGAAAAGAAAAGAAAAGAAAAAAAAACCTAAGTTTCCAAGGAGAAGGCTGGTTGACCAGCTGGCTGAGGATTTGATGGAGCAACAGCGCCCTCTGCTGGCCGTGGTTATAATTGTCCGTTCACACCCTCGTCACTTCTACTGGGACGCGAGGGGCAGAGAGGACAGGGGCCAAGGGGACCACGGATAAGGGGCTCATTCCAGAAAGCGCTGCATGAGGGGAGACCCAGAATGTCCCCCAGAGGCCCAGGTCCTACTCCCCTACAATACAATAGAATAGAGCAGCGGTTCTCAACCTTCGGGCCCCTGAATGCAGCTCCTCATGCTGTGGGGACCCCCGACCACAACATTATTCTCGTGGCTCCGTCATCGCCGTCATGTGGCTGCTGTGATGAATCGTCATGGAAACATCTGATCTGCAGGATGGATTTTCATGGTGACACATCGGACATCATGAAAGCACCGTGATCAATCACAAAATCAATCTGTGATCATTTTTGTTTTTTTTCAAAAGGGAGAGGGAGGCTGCCAAAATGTCTGCTTTCCTGCAAGCAACATGTATTTAAAAAAGAAAGAAAGGAAGGAAGGAAGGGAGGGAGGGAGGGAGGGAGGGAGGGAGAGAGAGAGAGAAAGAAGAAAGAAAGAAAGAAAGAAAAGAAAAGAAAAGAAAAAAAGGAAAGAAACTTGCAAAAATGAAATTGGGAAAAAGAAGGGGGGAAAGAAAAGAAAAGAAAAGAAAAGAAAAGAAAAAAAACTAAGTTTCCAAGGTTGACCAGCTGGCTGAGGATTTGATGGAGCAGCAGCGCCCTCTGCTGGCCGTGGTTACAATTGTCCGTTCACACCCTGGTCACATCTACTGGGACGTGAGGGGCAGAGAGGACAGGGGACAAGGGGACCACGGATAAGGGGCTCATTCCAGAAAGCGCTGCATGAGGGGAGACCCAGAATGTCCCCCAGACGCCCAGGTCCTACTCCCCGACAATACAATACAATAGAGCAGTGGTTCTCAACCTTCGGGCCCTTTGAATACAGCTCCTCATGCTGTGGGGACCCCCGACCATAACATTATTCTCGTAGCTGCGTCATCGCTGTCATGTGGCTGCTGTGATGAATCGTCATGGAAACATCTGATCTGCAGGATGGTCTTAGGCGACCCCTGGGAAAGGGCCGTTCGACCCCCAAAGGGGTCGCGACCCACAGGTTGAGAACCGCTGGAATAAAGTGAAGTGGAATGAAATGGAATGATAGAAAATATTAGTTTTTAAAAAGAAAACAAGCCAGGTGGCATGGCTCAGGGGTTGAGCGTCGACCTGTGAACCAGGAGGTCACAGTTCGATTCCCGGTCAGAGCACATTCCCGGGTTGCAGGCTGAATCCCAGGTATGGGGCATGCAGGAGGCAGCTGATCAA